AGGAACTCTAGAACTATTGAAGAAATGTTTTTTATAAATAAATAATTAATAAACAAATTTTGAATTGTGTTAATCTTTGAGCACTAATTAAGCACTAAATAATAGGCTAATTGTAAATATTCTGTTGGCGTTTTTAACGTGTTTTTCGTTATGGTCCGGCCAGCGGATCGCTGAGTTAGTAATAAGCTAATAAGTTAGTTTTTTAAATAAATAATTAATAAACAAATTTTGAATTGTGTTCATCTTTGAGCACTAATTGAGCACTAAATAATATGCTATTGATAACTATTTTGTTGGCGTTTTTAATGTGTTTTTCGTAATGGTGCGGATAGCGGTTCGCTCACTCATTTGAATAAGTTTTTCTTTTAAATAAATAATTAATAAAAAAAATTTTTTATTTTGTTAATCTGCGAACACTATTTGAGCACTAAATTATAGGCTAAGAAAACGAATTATAAAACGAATTTAAAACATTTTTAACGTGTTCACTCCTTCGAAGAAATGTTTTTTATAAATAAATAATTAATAAACAATTTTTTATTGTGTTAATATTTAAGCACTAATTGAGCACTAAATTTTAGAGTATTGATAAATATTTTGTTGTGATTTTTGACGTGTCTGTCGTAATGGTGCGGTTGGCGGATTAGTCACTCAATCGAAGAATTTTTTTTTTTAAATAAATAATTAATTAAAAAATTTTTTATTTTGTTAATCTTTGAGCACTAATTGAGCACTAAATAATAGGCTATCGATAAATATTTTGTTGGTGTTTTTATTGCGTTTTTCGTTATGGTCTGGCTAACGGATTACTCACTCATTCAAAAAAAATTTTTTTTTTTAAATAAATAATTAATAAAAAAAATTTTTATTTTGTTAATCTTTGAGCACTAATTGAGCACTAAATAATAGGCTATTTATAAATATTCTGTTGGCGTTTTTAAAGCGTTTTTCGTTATGGTCTGGCCAGCGGAACGTTCACTCAGCAGAACCATTGTTTTTTTTAAATAAACATTGAGCACTAAATTCGGCAATATGGTACAAAAATAGCACTAATTGAGCACTAATTAATGGTATAATTTAAATTCATTTTTATGAAAGTGGTTCGGCCAGCTTCACAGACCTTTTAAAATGAAATGCGCGGAGGGACTCTACTGTTGATTGTACGAAAGCTTTTCACTTCAAAACCCTTTGACTTGAAAGAAAATAAGTCAGGGTCGAAAGTGCCTTTCACTCGAGGAAAATAAAATTCAGGGTCGGCTTGTAGTTTCTGCTTCATGATTATTTATTTTATTCTCATTAAATCGCACTTTGTGAGCATTTTTTTTTTTAATCAACACTTTTTTCGTAATTTTTTTTTTCTTTTCAATTATTGTGAGAAATGAAAAATTAACTGTACATGGATGTTAATAGTTATATTTATGATTACTAGCGTTATATTTATATAAAGATTGAAAAAGCACGGAAATATTTAGTGCCTACATTTTTCTTGATTGTCTGTTGTAATTTCTTGGATTAAAGGAAAGAAATTTTTTTTTTTAATTCTACCTACAATGTATATTTATGTGATAATAAATATTTATGTAATATTTATGTAATAAATTATCACTGTTTTCTTGATAGTATCAAATTGATTTTAGTAGATCAAATTGATGGCAAAAATTTGAATCAATTTTTTATTTTTGATCCACATTTTTGGTGGACTTTGGTTGCATTTTGATACTATTAAGTTAACAATGATAATAATACTATAATAATGCCATAATAATACCATTTTTATGGTACATTTTTTTTTTGTTAAACGAAACTTGAAAAATAGAGCCGACCCTGATATGTTAAATATTTTACCTTAAATATTTAGAAAATAATTTTCGCGATAATGCAATATATACATTTTTTTTAAATAACTGATAGTAAAGTAAATTATTATTATGTAAGTTATTGTTAATAATTCCTTTTTTTTACTACTCGATTGTTTTGTTTGATAACAATTCCTGTAGATTGATATTTGATTAAACATTTTCTACAATGTTTCTTTTATTCTTAGACAAAATAAAACTTTGTATGTAATTTTTTTTTCACCAGTTTCTTTTCTTAAGATCATTGTTCATTTTGTCGATTACAATTGTTGATTGATATTATATTCTATAGCAAGCGTTCGTTCCCTCCGATATTGTAAACAAAAAAATATAATTCATATACGATATCACAGTCAAATAGACTATATAGTCAATATATAGTCACTTTAATTCAAAATTACTTTGAAATTATTTTAAATTATTTAAAATTAATCAAAATTATTCAAACTTATTTAAAATTATTTAAAATCTTATTTACAATCAATTTCAAAAATATAAATTATTCAAATGTAAATTGATAAAAAATTATCATTAAAAGCAAAGTAATTTTTAATTTTACTTTAACTAGCCGAGAAAATTCACTAAAAAGAAAAATTATTTTAAAAAACAGATTATTTTTCTATTACCAAATAAATATTTACTTGAATCAATAAATTTTTATTTAAATCAAATTTTCAACTTGAAATATCAAATAAAAATTTCAATTTCAACTTGAAATATAAAATGAAATATAAAATGAAATATAAAATATAAAAATGAAATATAAAATGAAATAAATTTTCAAAAGAAAAAAAAATTAACATTAATGATAGAAATTATTATAATTAACATAAAAAACACACCAGAAACTCTTCTATTAAAACTCACAACTACGTTTTCAACTGACTTCAGAGATGTTGCTATTCCAAAACACATTTTATACATTCTGATCACTATTATTTCTATGCTCATCACGATTTTTTATTTCAAGCCTATGTATATATTTTAACGCATAAAGCAAAAACAGAAAACAATTGAAAAACTCCACTGTCTTTGTTGTGGGTTTTTTTTTCTACGAAAGAAGCTTTTTAGTAAATTAATATAAAAAAAAATAATTAAAAAAAAAATAGATATCTTTGCACACTGGTCGTTCGTGCAATTCTATTTACAATTCAGTCACCCAAAATAGTGTTCAAAAATTTTTCACATCTTTACAGACTATTTGTTGTTTCGCGATGTCGTAAAAGCCTGTATAGTACATTCACAACTCGCACAAATTAAATGATGTGGGTCGCAAAATAGTGTATGCTTAATTATTTCTTTTTTTTAATTTTATAATTTATTTGTTTCACGAAATCTCAAAGTTTTTAACGTTCGAATGAATGAAATTTATTTATTCTTTTTCAAATTAAATTTTTATTTAAAAATAATTTTGCCATTTTTCGTTTCTTTTTCAAATTAAATTTTTATTTAAAAATAATTTTGCCATTTTTCGTTTCTTTTTCAAATTAAATTTTTATTTAAAAATAATTTTTTCATTTTTCGTTTCTTTTTCAAATTAAATTTTTATTTAAAAATAATTTTTTTATTTTTCGTTTCTTTTTCAAATTAAATTTTTATTTAAAAACAATTTTTGTCAGTAGCAAAAAAAAAAATTAATTAAAGCTTCTAAACGTAAATTTGAGTATTTTATTTTTATTGCAATCAGAAATTTATAAAAATTTTTATGAAAAAATATTTTGTTCACTTGAACGTTTAAAATTTGTGGATTTTATGTTCCACAAAATCTAAACGTTCAAATGAAGGAAATTTTTTGCAATTTTTCCAACTTTTTCCAAAATTACCGACTTTTATAAAAAGAAATACCAAAATTAATAAATTAGAATCTTTATAATTTTTTTTTTTTAATATTTGACTTAATATTATTCCTAAAAAATAAAATTTGTAATTTTTCTATAGTTTTGAATTTTCAAATGAACGAAAAAATTTTTTCTTAAATATTTTTTTTTAAATTATAGTGAAATGGAAGAAAAATTTTAGTTTTGCTAATTTAGTGAAATTTGTATAGCTGTTCCAGTTAGAACTATTCTTTTTAGTGAGTAAGAAAATGCTCTTTATTTGAACGTTTGAAATGTTAGGATAAAAAATTAAAGAAGAAATAAATAAATTTCCTTCATTAGAAAGTTCAGAACCTTAGAAAGTTAGGAGCATTATTATTTTTTAATTTTTCCAAATATTTATCTCAAGAACAAAAATATTTTTTGATAAAAAAATATTTTTTTTTTCTGTTATTAAAAAAAGATTTGGAAAATATTCTAAAGACAATAAGTTAAAAATAATTTAAATACAATTAATTTAAAGACAATAATTTCAATAAATGTCGAACACGTCGCGAAGAAAAAAACTTAAGAAGCGAAATTTTATAGGTTATGTTTTGTTTTAGATAAAAAAAACATAAAGTAGGTTAAATCTCAATTCAAACTAATTTTATTTTAACCTTTATTACATTTAAAGATTTCAAAAAAAATTATTTTTACTTTTAAACAATTAAAAACGAATTTTTTATTCAATGTGAAAAGATGACAAACATAATCTTAAAGATTTTTCTTATTAGGTTCCTTTTCTCGCGATGCGTCATTTCTTTTAATTTATTTTTGACTCTGTTAAATCAGTTAATTATTTTTTATTACAAGAAGCACTATTTTACGACAATATTCAAATTAAAAATGTAAATAAATATTACTTTTGTTTAAATATTGCATATATATACTGTGTATACATTTTAGTATATAATATACAAAATTGTAACTTGTCTTGCGATTTTCGAACATTATATTTATATTATATGCATTCGAATTATAAATAAATAAATGTTAATCTAAATAAATAAATGTATATAATATAGTAAAATAAATAAATTATATAATAAAGTGAAAACAAAAAGAAAATATACGAATATAATATTTGTATATTTATTTATATATACACATATTTATTTATATATAAATATTTATTTATTTATATAAAATGAATGTGTTATATATTTTTTCCTATTAAATTACGACTTTGGCGAGCTTATGAGAATGGAAATGAAACAGAAAGAGAAAACAATGATAGAAGAAAAAGAAAGGTCACGTGTAGGCTCAATTTATCAACTCGTTATACCGGCGTCTTTGGCAATTTCCGGCGCGTCGGCGATGAGGGTGTTTTATCCGTATCTGTGTCTGTAAAAAAACGTACTTTGTCAAAAACACACGGTTCCTTTTCTCCTGCTTAGAAATTTAAATATTTAATCTAGATTGAGTTCTTTTAGCAGTTACCAAAAAAAACGAGGTTATTTACATTAATGAAATATTCATTCTCTTGCCTAGTGATGAAAAAAAAGGAAAATAAATACCAAAAATCTGTTTTTTGAAAACAAATTCTAAAATATTCTATTGTAAGAAAAAAGTTGTCAAATTAAAACAATAGATTTTCGAATCAAAGACTTAGGGTATTAAAATAAAACAAAATTTGACAATTATTATTTTACTGTGTAATAAATTTATTTAACATTGAATTAAAAAATTGTTTTCTAACAAAGAGGTTGACCAAATAGAAAATAAATTCTCACCTGCTTGTAAATTAAGGTTCCCAGCAGATTTCACACCATCATCAAGTGAATCTCCAGAACTGTGTTGAAAATATAATCGAAACATATAAAAAAATACTTTTCCGAAAAATTACTAAAAAAAAATATTTTCTATCATATTTTCTTGTTTTCCATTCGAAAATATAAAAATTCGGAAAATTTCTAATATGATTTTTCCTTCGCATACGATTTCGTATATACATAACACTGGAAGAAAATATAATCAGATACTAAATATAGTTTTTGAACTCACGTGTCTGTGCCCTGTTCAACAACGAGTTCCGCTACGTCACTGCTTCTGTCGATTATTTGCGCTACATCTTTAAAATTTCGATCGACTAGCGACACTCCAGACCATTCAAGAATCTGAAATGTAAAATTCAAGGGCTGTTGAGAAAACGAACGGTTTCCAATCTTGGGAAATCTATTGCTTCAAAGAACGGTTGCTTATATGAATAGAAATCATGATCGGATCTTTTATTCTAAGAATCAGGATGAGGAGAGGCTCTCTTGGAGAGAATGGGATATATATATATATTTTTGACTGTATCCTCATATATTTCCCATTTGTTTTTTCATGAATAATATAAGAGAGCAACAAATAAACTTGAGCTTTTTCTATGTATTTTCATAGAGGTTTTTTTCGTCTTCGGCAATGATAATAAAAAAATAAAAAAAATAATTTTTCATATGTATATGGGTTTTTCTATTTTTAATAGTAAAATTTATTTTCAAATAGTCAAAAGAAGGTAAAAATAAAAATACATTTAAAAATAATTGTAGTTTCAGTAGAAAATTGTATTTTAACTCAGACAAGCTGAACAGACACACTAAAACTGTGATTTCAGTAGTAAAACATATTTTTAGTCAGACTATATAAAATATTTAAAAATCGAAATATGTAAAAAAAATTTTTAGTTTCAGTAGTAAAACTTATTTTAAGTCAGACAGAACAAATAAGAAATAAAAAAGAAATAAGAAAAAATAAGAAACCGTATTAGTCTATTTTTAATAGTAAAATTGATTTTAATTCTGACAAGGCGATTAAAAACCGTGTAATTGTAATTTCAGTAGTAAAACTCATTTTAAGTCAGACATATAGTCATTAAAAATATATTTAATATTAGCATTGCTTTAGTTTCAGTAGTAAAAATTATTTTCAGTCAGACAAAACGATTAAAATCCGTATTGTTCTAGTTTCAGTAGTAAAATTTATTTGAAGTCAGACAAGTCGATTAAAATCCGTATAGTTGTATTTTTATTAGTAGAACATATTTTTAATCCGACAATAACGAATAAAAATCAAAATATATAAAAATTAATTTTAGATTCAGTAGTAAAACTTATTTTAAGCCAGACAAAGCAATTAAAAGACGTAAAATTTGTAGTTTCAGTAGTAAAACTTATTTTCACTCAGACAAAAATAGTTATAAAAGTAACTATTTGTACTTTCAGTAGTAAAACTTATTTTCAGTCAGACAAGACAATTATAAACCATGTAATTCAAGTTTCAGTAGTAAAATTGATTTTAAGTCAGACAAAGCAATTAAAAGACGTGAAAATTGTAGTTTCAGTAGTAAGACTTATTTTCACTGAGACAAAAATATTTATAAATGTAAATATTTGTAAAATAATTCCAGTTTCAGTAGTAAAACTTATTTTCACTCAGACAAAAGTTGTGATAAATTTAAATATTTCTAAAATAATTCCAGTTTTAGTAGTAAAACTTATTTTAAGTCAAACAAAACAATTACTAACTATATATTATTTTAGTTTCAGTAGCAAATTTTTTTTAAGTAAGACAAGGCGATTCAAAACCATGTATTTGTATTTTCAGTAGTAAAATTTATTTTAAGTCAGACAAGTCGATTAAAATCCTTATAGTCGTAGTTTTAGTAGCAGAAAATATTTTTAATCCCACAAAAACAAATAAAAATCAACAAATATAAGAATTATTTTTAGTTTCAGTAGTAAAACTTATTTTAAGTCAGAAAAAACAATTAAAACTGTTTTATTTTAGTTTCAGTAGTAAAATCGATTTTATGTCAGACAAAACGATTAAAAACTGTTTACTTGTAGTTTCAGTAGTAAAATTGATTTTAAGTCAGACAAGGTAATTAAAAACTGTTTAATTGTAGTTTTAGTAGTAAAATTTACCTTAAGTCAGACAAGGTGATTAAAAATATATTTAATTGCAAAATAATTGTAATTTCAGTATTAAAACAAATTTTCAGCCAGACAAATACAGTTAAAAATCGAAATATATGAAAAATAATTTTAGTTTCAGTAGTAAAATTGATTTTAAGTTAGAAAAGACGATTAAGAGCCGTATATAATTGTAGTTTCAGTAGTAAAATTTAATTGTAGTTTTAGTAGTAAAAATTATTTTAAGTGAGACAAGTGGATTAAAATCTTTACAATTGTAGTTTCAGTAGTAAACGAATTTTTAGTCAGACAAAAAATGGTAAAAATCAGAATGTGTTAAAAATAAGTTGAGATTAAGTAGTAAAATTGATTTTAAGTCAGACAAGGCAATTTAAAATCTTTTAACTCTGGTTTCAGTAGTAAAATTTATTTTATGTCAGACATGACATTAAAAACCGTATTATTTTAGTTTTAAAATGGAAAAAATGATTTTAGGTCAGACAAGTCGATGATAAGTGTAGGAATTATTTTATTTTTAGTAGTAAAATTGAATTAAACATATTTTATAATTGAATTGAACATAATTTTTATTGAATTAAACTTATTATTATCCGAATGTAATGATAATAGAAAAGTAATAATAATTTTTTTTTAATTAATAAAGTTTAAATAATAAGAAACAAATTTTCCCTTTATTAATCACTTTTCGTGAATGCAGACGTGGGAAGTAGTATTTTGTATAATACATTTCAAGTTAGCATTGCTCTTTATGCTTGGAAAATTTCATTGTAATATTATTACTTTTAAAGAAGAAAGTAGAGGAGGAGAGAGGGAGAGGAGTGAAATTTATCAAAACTTTAGCATAACGAGAAACTTTTTCCATTCTTAAGAATCGCTTTTAGATGAGAATCACGCAAGCATCGGAAGCTGTAAAGTTTTTGGGATTCGTACGTTGATCTCATACTAATAATAACTTTATAACTTAAAACACTTTTCTAACGATTAGCAATCTGGATTTTAAATATTCTAACATTCCCTATAAAGTTTTCAACTTTTAAATATGAATGAAATTTATTTCTTTTTCAAATTCAAATTTTATTATATTATAATTCTTGTTGAGCAAAAGTTGAAAAATAAATTATATTGTTTAAAAAATGTTTAATTTACGATTTTTTTTTATACTAGTTAAAAAGATTGAGTCGAATAATTTTTTAAGCCAAATTTTACCAGTTTGTCAATTTTATTTATTAATGTGGACGTTTCGGCAGAAAAAATAATTTTTTTCCTATGTATGGGTAAAAATTATTTATTATAAAAAAAGATAATTTTCTATGATAAAAAATTCCATTTTCTAAAAGATGGATTTTTTTAGAGTTGTTCAAAAATTTGATTGCACGTCAAACAATTTTGTTACATAAAATTCGATAGGTACATATAGAGAAACCGCAAATAAAACATAGAAAAAAAAGTTCTCAAAGTGAGTAGAAAATTCCGCTCAACAATTACTTTTAGATTTTGTTTTCATTAAATAAATATCCATCTACAAATAAAAGGTTTTTTTTTGGCTTTATTGACGAATATTTTAATTGAAAGATAACTTTTAATTTTCATATTTTAATTGAAATTATATCTCTACAAATGAAACATATAATAGAAAAAAGAATTTTAAACTTTATTTTGTTTTCTTGTGCGCACGTTGAAATGGTTTAAAAAATCACATTAAAAAATAAATATAAAAGAGGAAAATCCTCCAAACTAGATAAAAATACTGTAACTTCCATAAAAGGAAAAAATTATGTGAAAGAAGTAAGTAGTAAAACTGATTTTAAGTCAGACAAGACGGTTAAAAACAGTTTAATTGTAGTTTTAGTAGTAAAATTTATTTTAAGTCAGACAAGGCAATTAGAATTTTTAAAATTGCATTTTCAGTAGTGAAACTTATTTTTAGTCAGACAAAGGCTGCTAAAAAGAAAATATATAAAAAAAATTCTTAGTTTCAGTAGTAAAAATTATTTTAACTCAGACCTAGCGGTGAAAAATCTCTTAATTGTAGTTTCAGTAAATATAAGGAAAATCCTGTAAATTTGACTAGAATACTTATTTGAATACAATCGCTAAAAAATTCTTTTAACCATTTTTTTTGGAGGTTATACTGAAGCATTGTATTTTGCCCCCAGGTTATGAATAGGTAAGCAAAAAGTGTAGATTTCCTCTTCCTTTATCGTAATTCTATATAAAAAACAAGAAAAATAATTTAAAAACTCTTTTTTTTCTCGAATAAATAATGAAGTCTTAGTTGTAATATTTGTAGGTATATTGTAATGTATGTGTATGTGAATAAAAGACGTTATCTGTCATCTTCTTTCCACTTTACATATAAAAAGTATATTTTTCCCTAGCGGTGAAATAACATTATTCGGAAAAAAAAAGTTTTTTCTTTATCTCAAAATGAAAAAAACAAGTTTTCGATAAGAGAGAAACAAACCATTTTTGCATAATTATGTACGATTTTACTCTCCAGGCATATAGGGAGTCTATATAGAGTATAGTAGTAAGGCTTTTGATATGTTAAAACACACAGATTGCTTTCCATGCTAGATAACTTTTTCCTTTGATGAAAATTCGAGTTTGAGCCACAGTTACATTACATTTCTAACTGAGAAAGTACTAATGATTTTTCCTTGAAAGTGCGTTGTTATTTTCATTAATTGTTATGAACTTATAAAACTTTTTTACAAAAATGCAATCAAGCAAAATATATTTTATTAAAAAGAAATTAAAAGAAAACTGGGTGTAATTTTTGTTGAGTGTAAAATTAGGCAATTATTGTTAATCGAGATTAAACGTGGCGCTATCTGTGAATTAGAAATAATTAAACTTTCAGTGGTAAAATTAATTTTAAGTCAGTCAATGTGATAAAAAACCATGTAATTGAAATTACAGTAGTAAACCTTATATTAAAGTCAGACAAGGTGATTAAAAACCGTGAAGTTTTAGTTTCAGTAGTAAAAATTATTTTAAGTCAGACAACTCGATTAAAATTCGTATGGTTGTAGTTTCAGTAGTAAAACTGGTTGTAAGTCAGATAAGACGATTAAAAACACAGAAATTCTACTTCTGAAAGTAAAATTTATTTTTTGTCGAACAAAAGCAGTAAAAAATAATAATACAATAAAAATAATTGTAGTTTTAGTAGAAAAATTTATTTTAAGTCAGACAAGGCTATCAGTAATTACAGGGTTGCCACAAATATTTAATTTTTTTCCCTGACTTTTCCCTGATTTCCGGACAAAATTTTAACTTTTTCCCTGACCCTAAAGAATATTCTGATTCACTATAAAAATGATTAGATACTCAAAAAAATGTTCTATTACATTACTTTTAAAAGTAGTGAAATTTCTCAAAAAGATTCTATTATTAAAAAAAATGTAATAAAATTCGTTCCAAGAATTCAATTATTTTCATAAATAATAAATTGATTATTCGGAAATTCATTTTTAAATCAATTTTGATTAGAAAATTCTAGAAGAATTCAATTATTGAAATTAAAAAATAAATAATTTATTGAATAGTTAAATGTTTGTTAAAATTGAATTTTCATAAAGAATTTTATCAACAAATTTTCAAGTAATTAAATTCTTTTGAAAAATTTTAAATAACATTTTTAAGAATAATTACATTTTTTGAAGAACTCGATTAAAATTGTATCGAAAATTATTAAAATCCTGCGATGAGTTTTATTATTTATGAAAATAATTAAAATTCTCCTAAAAATTTCATTAAAATTTTTCTAAAACATTCGAGTTTCGGAGAAGAATTTTATTATTTATAAAGAGACTTGAAATTTTGACAAGAATTTTTTTTTATTTTTGAACTTAATTGAATTTCTGCGTAGAATTTTATTACTTCTGAAAATAATTTAATTCTTCCAACGAAGTTTATTCAAGTTTATAAAAATAACTGAATTTCTGTGACGAATCTTATTATTTATATAAATAATTGAATTCTTGCTACGAATTTTATTCAAGTTTATAAAAATAATTGAATTCTTGAAAAGAACTTTGTTAAATTTTTCTTTAAGAATTGAATTCTTGCGACGAATTTTATAAAAATCTTTTTAAATAATTGATATTTTTTGAAAAATTTTATGAAACTTTGTATTTCAAATAATTGAATTCCTGTAAAAATTTTATTACTTATGAAAATAATTGAATTATTTCGAAGAAATTTATTAAAAATTTTGTAAAAAATTGAATTCCCGTGAAATTTTGCTAAAAATTTTATTAAAATTTTTAAAAATAATTAAATTTCGAAGAAATTATTATTTGTGTAAAGATAATTGAAATTTTTACGACAATTTTATTATTTATAAAGATAATTGAATTTCTGGAATCATTTGTAACTTTTCCAAAATTCAATTTTTTTTTAGTATTTTTAACTAAAATTCTTCTATCAATCTAGTATTTATGAAAATTGTAAAAATTATTCATTAAATAATTTATAAGTCATCATTTTATGATAGTTCTTGAAAAATTAAGTTATTTAAAAAGAAATTATTGTCAGAAATAGAAAAAATTGTAGGTTTTGTATTAAAATTCGTGGTAATTTCATAGTTTAAGAGGCAAACAAAAAAACATCAAAAATCATAGTTTTCTCATGAATTTTAAAAATTCAATTTTTTTTCAGTACTTTCACTAAAAATCCCTGACTTTTCCCTAATTTTCCTGACCAATTTTACTTTCCCTGACTCTTCCCTGAATTCCTTGACTTCCGTGACCTGTGGCAACCCTGAATTAATAATAAAATATATTTTCTATCAGACGAAAGCAAATTTACATGGTTTTTAATTTTAATCTCGTTGTCCAGCATAAAATCAATTTTACTACTAAAACTAAAATTATTTTTTACATATTTTGATTATAAGTTGTTATTGTCTGACTAAAAATAAATTTTACTACTGAAAACGATTAAAATCCGTGTAATTGTATAGTTTTAGTAGTAAAACATTTTTATTCAGACTAAAACAGTTATAAATTACATTATATATAAAGTATTTTCAGTTTTAGTTGTAAAATTGATTTCAATTTAGACAAAAAGATTTGAAACTATAAAATTCTGGTTTCAGTAGTAGAATTTATTTTAAGTCAGACAAGACGATTAAAAACCAATAAATTCTAGTTTCAGTAGTAAAATTTATTTGACGTCAGACAAGATCATTAAAAATCGTATAATTGTAGTTTCAGTAGTAAAATTTATTTTAAGTTAGACAAGACGACTACTGAAACTATAATTAAACGGTTTTGAATCACTTATTGTCTGACTTAAAATAAACTGAACTACTGGAACTATAATTAAACGGTTCTTAAGCAGTTTGTCTAACCTAAAATTAAGTTTACTACTAAAACAAAATTGTTTTTTAAAAAATAATTTTAGTTTTAGTAGGAAAACTTATTATCTGTTAGGCAAGATGATTTAAAATCGTTTAATTTCAGTTTCAGTAGTAAAAATTATTTTAAGTCAGACAAGGTGATTAAAAACCATTGAATTGTAATTTCAGGAGTAAAATTTACCTTATGTCAAATAATAATTACTTGAAAAGATCAACTGAAGTATTATTAAATATAATAATAAGAACGTTTCGGTCAAATTGACCCAGTGTGTTAACAACGAGAAGAAAAATAATTGTCAACCGAAGATTATATTATTCAATTAGATTTTAATTCCACTTTGTTTAATTTTCCCACATTAAATAAATAAACATAGGTGTAATAATTTAGTTGTTTGTAAAAAAAAATTAAATGTGTAATTTAGTTTTCTAATCTTAGTTATTTATATACATATGTACGAGGAAAATGAGTAGCGGAAGATCTCTTTTGATAAGTGATTGCTTTGCAAAGATATTATGGAAATTAAACATAAACAAGGGTGATTCCAGTGTCTTGGGATCGATTTTTCCCAGAGGCTATGTGTTGTACTACAAGTGAATTTATCTTCAAAATCTATATCTTAAAACTCTGATTTTTTCTTTACTCTCCCTCTTCGAAATGCACATCCGTGTGAAACAAGGTTTTAAAATGCCTTAGGTGTGTCTAAAGAAAAATTTAAGAAAAAATTCCTCAAAACTTGATTAATTCGAAATGTAATTAATTCCCTATTTTCTTATATATATTATTCGGAAAAAAAAATTATAACCTACCTTATCACCAGCTTGCAGTCCAGCTTTCTCTGCAGGACCCCCGGGTGAAATCAACAGGATTTGGGCAAACAAATGGCCGTCCGACCCAACCTTTCCACCTACAACTCTCATTCCAAAACCTTGAGCTGAAACAGAAAACCGGAAATTGGTTTCAAGCCACCTGTCGTAATTCTTGCAGGATTTATATATATAGAGACTAACGTGCGCCATCTCTTTTCTCCTTTGAAACATTTTCCAAAAATTTAAATCAAACTCTGATAGCAATCTATTATATGCTTTTTATTTCCATTGTTATTGAGCGCGTGTGCATTGTCTAATAAGTAGATATTGCGCATTAAACTTAATGAAATGCGCAATTATCATAAAAACTTATTAGTGTAAGCATTTATAGAATGCTTTTCTATTTTACACTTGAGATAGAGTGAGAGAATAAGAGAAAGAGAGAAAGACGGATATACAGAATAGGAGATTAAACTGAAGCAGTACGACGACTGAGTTTCCCTTGGAAAATGATAATTATTCAAGGGACATAATCACTGAGTTTATTGTACCTATATTTTTATTCTTTTAAGTCGTCGCTGCTTTAAATATGATAATAGTCATCCAATTTATTTTCTTTATCTTCCCAATGGGAAATGCCAGTGTACTGCCGATGTTCACCACTGGCTTAGTACTCAGACGATTGTTCGGCGTAGTCTAGCCGAGCCTCGACAATTAGTGCTGGCGCAGTACAGAATTTTTGTTTTGCCAAAGCTTGGACAAGCCACGGCGGCAAGTGCTGGCTGAGTATAGAAAAATTGTTCACAACGCTCTTTGCCAACATTGCTTTTTTGACATAAACATGAAAAAAATTATAAAAAAAGTTTATGAATGTTTATAAATATAAATTTATTGAAAAAAATTAATATTTTACTTTTCAGTTGTTCATTTTTTATTCTTATTAAATTTAATAACAATTTAACACAATTGTCTAATTTTGTAAATAATAAATTATTTAAACAAATTAAAATTATAAACAAAATTTAAACTTTAATCTCAATAATAATTTAGTTCCTATTAAAATACTATTATAGGTACTTCTTATTATGAATAAAAAATTATTAAAAAATTACCACGTAATTTAAGAATTACGTAAAATGTTAAATGCAATAAATAAAGTAATTTAATTTAATTATTAAAAATTTAGTTTAATTTATTTTATTTCAATTTATTATTTCTATCGTATCCCTATTTTTTTCTCATCTTTGACTCAATAATTGTATGTCTGAATGATACTGAGATATTAATACTTTACTGTACACATGTGTCGTTAGCATAGTGGTTAGAGCGTTAGTCTGTTAGTCCGTAGGTCGTAGGTTCGATTCCCCTCGTCAGCAATTTTGTTTATTTTCATAGGTTTGCGATATTTCTATATTCCAATCGTTAGGTACTAAAATATGAAAATCTAATGCACACTTACTGTAATTGTTTATTATTTAATTTTTAAATGTTATAAACAATTTTTTTCTACTTCATTTACTATATCCATTGTTAGTCTCCATCTTTAATACAATTTCTTTAAGAAGAGAAATATTTTATGAATAATAACTATTTATTAATATTATTTACCATTTTGTTGTTAAATTATTTATAATTATGAATTTACGACTAATTAATAACAATACGGCATTTATTGCGTCAATATTCTCAGCCAGCACTGGTCCAGTGCTGTCTGGCAGCACTGACAGACAGTACTTCGGCAGCGCCAGACGGCGTTATCATCCCAGTGCCATGCCAGTGCTGGCTCTCAGCCTTGCCGCCAGTGCTGCCAGTGCTGGCGCAGTACTACGCCAGTTGTAAATTTCCCATTGGGTTTGCGCAATTTATTTTTCTATTCATTTATAATCTCTTTTTGTTATTTTTTTTTCTTCCTCTTAAACTTTAATAAGATTTACAATTTCCGAATCTCAAAGCTCCAAAGCGGGGGATGTTTACTAGCAGCTGTTGAGGATGAATCAGTTAAGTAATTTCTTATACTTTACGGCTGCATTATGTAAACCATGGCATATATATATACAAGCATCTATATATACTGTATAGATATAAATATAAATTTATATATATATAAAGACATTTATATGTATATAGATATATAAATTGTCTGAGTGTGTAGTCTCCTTATTTAAATTTCAAATGCAAATAGTTGAGTAATGAAGGAAAAAGTGGTAGAACGATGATTAAATGAGAAAAGAAAAGAGTATTTAGAGTGAATTTCAAACAGTATTGATTTTCATGCTTTGAGAAAATGGTGCGTCTACACCGGAACTCTCGAGAACTGTGAAAATTACTTGTGAAATAGTTTTGAAAATGGAACCAACATGTCTGTATGTACACTTCCCTCCCACATTTAACTTTTTACTTTCTTCTTTTCTTCCCAAACCACAAAGAAAGAAAGAAAGAAAGAAAGAAAGAAGGAAGGAATATAATAGTAAAAGATATTGCTAACAAGTTTTCCCAAGTTTATTTCAATTAAATATTTTTTTCTAGTTCAAATCTAATTCTAATTTAATGCGTTCTAATTAAAAACATACATTAAAAATAATTGTAGTGTCAGTAGAAATTTTTTTTTAATTGGACAAGAAAATTAAAATTAGTATAATTCTAGATTCAATAATAACATTTTTTTTTAAGTCAGACAAATCGATTAAAAATCATGTAGTTATACTTTCAGTAGTAAATAAACATTTTAGCTAGAAAAAAAAATTAAAAAATTCAAGTATATAATAAATAATCATAGTTTCAGTAGTAAAACTTATTTTAAGTCAGACAGGTCCATTTAAAATCATATAATTCCAGTTTCAGTAGTAAATGCTTTTTTCTGTCAGACAAAAAGAGGTTAAAATTAAAATTCTATGTTAAATGTTTTGACTTGTAGTAGTAAAACTCTTTTTAATTCAGACAAGGCGATTAAAAACTGTTTACTTGTAGTTTCAGTAGTAAAATCGATTTTAAGTCAGACAATGTGATGGGAAATATATTTACTTATAGTTAAAGTAGTAAAATTTATTTCAGGTCAGACAAGGAGATTAAAAATATGTTTAATTTTAGTTTCAGTAGTAAAACTTATTTTAAGTCAGACAAAACAATTATAAACTGTTTTATTTTAGTTTCAGTAGTAAAATTTATTTTAAGTCAGACAAGTAGTAAGATTTAATTGTAGTTTCAGTAGTAAAATTTATTTTAAGTGAGACAAGTGGATAGAAATCTTTACAATTGTAGTTTCAGTATTAAACGAATTTTTAGTCAGAAAAAAACAACTAAAAATCAATATCTATAGAAATTAGTCATAGTTTCAGTAGTTAAATTGGTTGTAAGTCAGACAAAGTGATAAGAAACGGTTTAGTTAGACAAGAGTAGTTAAAAATTATAAATCTTATAAAAAATATAACTTCAGTAGTACAACTTATTAAAAGTCAGACAAGATGATTTAAAATCGTTTAATTGTATACTTTTAGTAGTAAAATGGATTTTAAATCAGACAATGTTATAGTATATTATACTGTTTAATTCTATTTTCAATAATAAAATTAATTTTCAGTCAGACAGATCAATAAAAAATAGTATAATTGTAGTTTCAGAAATAAAAATTATTTTCTTTCAGACAAAGAAGGTTAAAAATCATGATATGTAAGAAATGATTTTTGTTTCAGTAGTACAACTTACTTTAAGTCAGACAAAGAAATTTAAAATCGAAATATGTAAAAAATTATTTTAGTTTCAGTAGTAAAATTTATTCTTAGTCATAACGATTTAAACTGGGTAATTGTATTTTCAATGGTGAAACTTAATTTTTGTCAGACGAAAACAATTAAAAATCAAGGAAATTAAAATTAATTTTATATTCAGTAATAAAGCTCTCTTTTTAAAATTGTATATTTAAATAAAAATATTAAATATTTTTTTAAAAATATGTATATATTTAAATGAATATAAAAATTGAATTTACATAGTTTTCTTGTCTGACTGAAAGTTGATAAGTTATAGGACTAATAATAAAAATTACATCAAATAAAATCTATAATTACATAAAAATTTTTTGTCTGGTCTGATAAATATTGCTTTTTACTACTAAATTACAATAACTAAAAAGAAACTAGCAAGTAATAGTAATTTTTATTAACAATGTGTACTCGAATTTTATATGAATCAGGGAAAATTGCCACTGATTATTTCATGATTCACCTAATGGTATGAAATGAAAATATCAAAAAAAAAATTACGATTTTTATAAAAATTGATCATCATCAATAATACGAATTGTATTGACTTCTACTACTTGAAATAACCCAAAGGTAGAAATAAAAGGCAAATTATTAAATGTTGACACGAGACAGGTAAAACTTTTGTCCTTGAAAATGTATTATTTAATATACGCATGTGTAAAAAAAAGCTTCTTCATTAAGTATTTTCATCATCCAAGTAGTACTTAATTTTCTTTTTCTATATATGAAAATTAATTTATCAAATGATCTATGATTGTTCCACACCCGACAAAAGGAAGATTGTATAAGCCTTGACCAGCAAAAGCCATCAATTTTTCTTTCACATAAATATTACAAAGTAAAGTATGTAATTAGGACAAACAAATGAATCATTTATCGAGAAAATTTTGAATAGCGCACACATATGTAGTAACACATGTATGTATTGGATAAAATAGTTACATAATATAATGTTCTAGTTCGTGAGTATATAAACATAAATTAATTAATTCACCATTAATTTCTATAATTAAGATGCAGGGCCCTGGATTGCTTTAGACTAAATTCACTAATGATTTACGTGGACATCGATGCCCTAGCATCTAACCATATTTCACTCTAATCTACTAAGCACCTGTTCTCACGCGATTACAATTTCCAAATGCCATTTCAATTCCCATAATGCGTTACTTAATGTTTGCGCAAATGGATCGTCCATCTAATGATCACTTGCCAGTGTCCGTGCATTGACTCATAAACTTTAAAAAAAAAAACTGTAAATTCTCGAAATACAAATTATAAAATAATAAATTATAGAAAAAAATGCTACTCAACAAACAATATTTTCTGTATTTGTTCTATAGGCATAAAATAATTTTAGAAGC